TGATGGGAGCAAGTTCGAGTGACTCCATCTCTGGAGCTTACTTGCTCCCAGCTCCCCTCCTCAACCCTCCACTTATTCTTTATGAAATGGAAATATTAGATGTATCTTCAAAGGGCTTTGTAAGGATTAAATAAAATAATGTATGCAAATTAGTACCTGGCATATAGCAGATGTTTTTATATGGTAGCATTTTATTATTTACTGTATTATTATTTGAAAAACTGCTTTTCTTTGTTGAAAATCTATAATTGCATATAGGTCTTATATGAGGAAGACATTACATAGTGAAAAATAGAATCTTAGGTTATAAGTCTGACATTCTAAAACAGGAAGAAAGGAGAATTATGTATTTTATATGGGGATGGACTCTGGGTTGGTTGGACTCTTTTGTGGGATTTAAAAGGTTATTGTCATGTTTAAAGCTAATGGGAAACGGGAAATATTAATGATTATGGTTAATCATGCTTTTTTCAAAAAAGAGAACCATACAAACAAAAATAAAAACTAATACTAACCAATAAACCTATATTATTCTACAACTTTAAAAATTGCATAATGAAGTAAAAATTTTTCTATCTCTTCCAACTGGCATTTCTGCTCTCAGAGGCAACTACTATTAACAATGTGTTGTATATTCTTTTTTGTTTTTGTTTTGTTTTTTACCTTATTAATATCTCATGGACCTCTTTCCATTCCATTTTTTATAGCTCAACTTTAAAAAAATTATTTAAGAGCTTGAGGCATACTTTACATACTATAAAATCTATCCATTTTAAATGTATAATTCAGTGATTTCTTAATTAAATTTACACAGTTGTGAAATCATCACCATAATCCAGTCTTAGAACCCAAAAAGTTCCCTGTGCCTATCAGTCCTCAGCCCGTACATAACTCTGCATCTGCTGTCTATATGAATAGTTACTTTTTTTCAGAAATTGTATGTAAGTGGATTCATACAAAGTGCATTCTTTTGTGTCTGACTCTGTCACTTAGCATAATGTTTCCAAGGTTAATTTTATGTTCTTGTGCATATGAGTAGTTTCTGCTTTTTTTTTTTTTTTGGCTGAGTACTATTCCATTGCATGGATATACTATACCTTGTCTAACCATTTGGTTAAATCATGATGGATATTGATTTGTTAGCATTTTGGGGGTATTATGAGTAATACTGCTATGAATGTTCACATATAAGTCTTTGTGTTGGAATATGTTTTTATTTTTCTCAGGTAAATATCTAGGTGTCAAATTGTTGGCTTGTGTGGTCAATTATGTTTAAAGAAACTGCCAAACTTTTTATTTAAAGTGGCTGGATTTTACATTTCTGCCAATAGTATATAAGGATTCCACTTTCTCCACAATTTTCTAACACTTGACACTGTCAATTTTGTTTATTATAGCCAGTCTAGTAGGTATGTAACAGTATCTCATTGTAATTTTTAAGTTGTATTTCTTTAATCACAAATGATGTTAGCATATTTCCTTGTGCTTATTTGCCATTTGGTGAAGTTTGTATTCAAATCTTCTACCCATTTCATAATTGAATTGTCCTCTTATTATTGGTTTATAAGAATTCTATATACAAGTCCACCATCAGATATATGATTCACAAATATATGAGGGGAGACCCCCCAAAACCGAATTTATTTATAAAAATTGTGTATTCTTACATATTTAAACTTCAGTCACCTTCAAAGTACTCTCCATTTGATGCCATACACCTACTGAGATGGTCTTCCACTGCTTCAAACAGCTTTTGAACACATCAGTTTTGATTCCTTTTAGTGCTTAAGCTGTTTTTTGTTTCACTTCTTCCACACCTGCAAAATGTTTCCCTTTGAGGGCTTTTTTCATCAGGGAAATGAAAAAAAAAAGTCACTCGGGGAGAGATCAGGTAAATAGGGAGGGTCGGGTACAGGGGTCATGCTGTTTTTGTTCAAAAACTGTTAAATACTCAGCATAGTGTAGACAGGTGTGCTCATAGGTCACTCATCATGAAATGGGCAAACACATTGAAAGAGTCTTAAAAAAAATTCACTGAAGCTGAACGCAGCCTCTCACAACAACACCAGCTGGCACACTGATATTGGTTCCGAGAACACTCACCAAATGAGGGAAGCCTGTACTATAAGGGGCCTGCCATCCAGAAGATAATTCCATTTTTTTTGTCGGGGGGGCAGAATCCTCCTTTGTATTTTCCCAGTCTGGAGCTTATCTTCTCATCTTCTTAAGGTCTTTTGAAGAGCAAAATTTTAAAGTTTTAGTGAAGCCAAATTTATTAATTTTTTAAATGAGTTTACATTCTAAGAAATCTTTTGTGAAACTCATGGTCAGAAAAGATTTTCTCCTATGTTTCCTTCTACATTTTATAGTTTCAATTTTTACATTTAGGGATATAATACATTTTGAATTAATTTTTGTATATGGGATGAGGTAAGTTCGTGTGTGGGTATTTAGTTGTTATACCACCATTGTCAAACAGACTATCTTTTCCCCCATTGAATTGTCTTGACGCCTTTATCCAGTAACAGTTGACCATAATGTTTGGGGTTTATTTCCTATATTGCTATATATGATCTATAAATTTATCCTTATGCCAATACCATACTGACTTAGAAATGATAGTTTTGTAGTAAGTTTTGAAATCAGGTAGCATAAGTTCTCCAGTTTTGTTTTTTCTTTTCATAAATGTTTAGGCTTATTTATGTCCTTTACATTTTTATGTAAGTGTTAGGAGTAGTTTGTCATTTCTAAAACAATCTGCTGGGTTTTTTACAACCGAGTACTATTCCATTATGTAAATGTTCCATAGTTACCCTTTGTGACAGCATGGATAGACCTGGAGAACATTATGCTAGGTGAAATAAGCCAGTCAGAGAAAGACAAATACCATATGATCTCACTCATATGTGGAATCTAATAAACAAACCAAACTAACAAGCAAAATAGAGACAGACTCCTAGATAACAGGATGATAGCTGTGGGGTTGGGGGCTCAATCAGAAAGAAAACAGGACTCATGGACATGGACAATAGTGTGTCAGTGGGTGGGGGGAGGGAGATAAGGGGGATAAATGGTAATGGAAAACAATATAATGAAAATTAAAGAAAATAATCTCTGTGATTTTAATAGGTAGGTGGTTATATAGAATCTGTAGACAAATTTGAGAATGCTCTTTTAACAATGTTGAATTTTCCATTTCATGAATATTCCCCACATTTCTCCAGTTTTTAGGGGTTTTTGTAGCAGTGTTTTATAGTTTGTAGGGTATAGGTCTTGAACTTCTTTTAATAAATTTATTCGTAAGTGTTTTACTTTTTTGATGCTATTGTGAATGGAATTGTTTTCTTCATTTCAATTTTGATAACTTAGTTGCCATTTTATAGAAATACCATTGATTTTTTTTTGTTAGTCTTATGTCTTGTGATCTTACTAAGCTTGCTTGTTAGTTCTAGTGGCTTTTTAATTTTTTTTTGTAGATTCCTTGGGATTTTCTGCACATGAGATCATGTAATATGAAAAATAACACACTTTTCACTTTTTTTTGCTTTAAATTTCTTTTTCTTGCCTCACTGCATTGGCTAGAACCTCTACTGCAAGACTGATAGAAGTGATGAAAGAGAGTATTGTTGCTTTGTTTATATCGGGGGAAATCATTTTGTCATGCCATGAAGTGTGATATTAGCTGCAGGTTCCTATAGATGCTCTGTATCAGGTTTTTGGAAGTTTCCTTCTTTCCTGGTTTATTGAGTGTTTTGGGGTTTTGTTTTTCTTTTTCTGCATCTGTTGGGATGATCATTTGGTATTTACTTGTGCTTTATTATGCTTAACACATTAATTGATTTATGGATATTAAACTACCCTTTATTCCTGGGGTATCATATGGTCATGGTGTATAATGCTATTTAATACGTTGCAAGATTGGTTTCTTAATATTTTGTTAAATAATTTTATAGCTATGTTCATGACAGTTATTGGTCTAGAGTGTCCTTTTTGTAATGTCTTTTTTCTTTTTTTGGCTTGGATATCAGGGTAATACTGGCTGTGTAAAATGTGTTGGAAAATGGTTCCTCTTTAACTGAGTTTTGAACAAGTTTTTTCATGTATATATTTCTTTTTTTGGTTTAATTTCTCCATGAAGCCATCTGGTCCTAGAGTTTTTAAAATTTTTTTTTAGTAGGAATGCTTTAAATACGATTTTGATTTTTCAAGAATGAATGCTTCTCAATTTGTCCTGTGGTTTTGGTCAATTTCTATCACCCTTCAAATGGTTGTTTTTGATGACTTTTTCCAGTTTTCTACTTATATTTTGCTAAGTAGTTTTGCTGATCTATTCATACCACCACACCCAGAAATTGCTTCTCTAATTTTTTCTTTTTAATAGTTACATTTCATTTTACAGATATGCCAAAATCTATTTAATAAAAAATAGTTTTTCTAAATTTTAAATATATTCTTAAGCAGTGCTGCAGTTAACCTATGTCTACAGATAACTTGTTTTGCTTATGCTAATAATTTGCTAAGATAGATTCCTAGAAGTGGGATTGCTGACCAGAAGCAATGCATGTCTTACATTTTAACAAATACTATAAAATTATTCTTCAAAATTTGTACTAAATTGGGAAATCTGCTTTTCCATATCTTGCCACTATGATACACTATTAATCTTTTACATTTTTGTTGACATGAAAAGTAAAAACTGGTATATTTTTATTTGGTATGGTTTATATTTTATTGAATTGTAGTAGAGTTAGGAATCTTTCTGTATGTTCTTTGACTGTCTTTATTTTATGAAATGATGTGTTATGTCCTTTGCTTAATTTTCAGTTATATTGGTTATTTTTTCCTTATTAATTTATAGGATCTTCTGATATTGAACTTTTATCTGTTTTATGTTGTAAATGCCTTTTCTATTCTGTCACTCATTTCCTTGTAGTCATAACCTGTTTTCATTCTTTTAAAAGCCTTGCATTCTAATTTATGTTTTTGTTTTTTTGAAACAGAAAGTTGTGCAAGGGATCGATTTGAACCAAATCCGAGGGCTTGGGTTTGATGCCACGTGTTCTCTGGTTGTTTTGGATAAGCAGTTTCGTCCTTTACCAGTAAACCATGAAGGTAGGACCATTCCTTTCTTTTTCCCTGGTGGTGGGGGACGGGCTGAGGCAGACTTGGCTGATCAAGTCAAAGGGCCAAGTGGGATGATGTCACCGGTCTCTTACCACTGAAAGTGAGATTTAGAAGTGGAGCATAGAGGCCAGAAATTATGTCCCAGAAGTTAAAAGCTTGGAGAGCAGTTGGTAGGAGTGGGGTAGCCTCAGGGGCCTGGATTAGGGAGAGACATGGCTCCATAAAGAACAAGAGCCACAGTAGAGAGCTTGATGAAGGAAGGACAGGGGATCATTAGCTCAGCATGGGTAGCCTTGAAACAGACAAGTGGTCTGGGTTTTTTTTAGGAAGGGAGTATCAATGTCTGCAGTTGCATTGCCTATGAAGCTCCTATACCACATTCATTTGAGTGTGTGAGCCAAGTCCATTTAAGGGAAATAGAATAAGGCAGACAGGACCAGGTATCACACAGAAAGTGGGAACAGATGGCCTCTCTGTTTTCAATAGCCAGACCAAAGGACATTCCCATTTAATGATGCTGTGCTAATAGACACTTGTGACTACAGTTCTTGTGACTGCACAAATGTAAAATGCCACTTGGGTTCACCATCAGAAATTTTTCATAGTGGGTTGAGGATGTATCCCTTTTGGGGAATTTCAGTCAGTAGTGCTAGTCCTGAGGTTGAGACCTAGAAGTCTACACTGGTCAGGTAGGTAATACAAGATCATAACCTTCAACTGATACTTCACTTTTTAATCAGTAGAAACATTTGGGAATGGCGGAGATTACGGTGCATTGGAAATCGAATCCAAAGGAATGAGGCTCTAGGTGTTGTCAGTCAGTTGCTGCCAAGACAGCTGTTACAGACATATTTTGGGCTAGATTGTTTGTGAACCCTAAGTAGTGGCCACTCCTGTAGCAGCATCTTAAGTAGTGGCTGTGGATACTGGGCACACCGGGACACCCGGGAGTCGCCGTCAGCATATCCCGCAGCTCTGCTACTGTAGAGCAGTAACACTGAACCTCTGCATGGCTCAGTTTTTTCCTCTGAAAGACCTGTAACTATGAAACAGTAGCTTTGCTGTGAGAATTGAGAGCCTGACACCTGAATGCTCAGAAAAGTTTGTTCTGTCTAATTATGAATTCCTCAAGTTAAGAGACTGTGTCCTATTACTCACTTCTATGGACCTAATGTGTAGAACAATGATTTTTATAAATTATATGTGATGAAAAAAGGATGTAAATGGATGCATGGCTAGAGCACAGGAGTAGTGATGACCTTTTTACACACACACACACACACACACACACACACACACACTTTTCTCCTTTTTGCTATGTTTATTAGCGCCTACTTTGTGCCAAGCCCTGTTATTAAGTGCCAGGGCTTCAAAGATGATTATGAATGGTCCTTGTTCTCGCTGACTTTTACTAGTTCAATTGGCATTATTCTGAGGCAGAGACCAAAGGATGAGGCCGAACCAGCAGACCTCAGCTCCGTAGCAGCAGGCACTTTCCAGTTATGAGATGTGTCCAGACAGGGAGCTGGCTGTGTTAGGAGACTCTCAGCACTTCTCTTATTGGCTTTTTAAAAAAGATTTTTACCAGCACTGACTGGTATGGCTCAGTGGACTGAGCGCCAGTCTGCTAACCAAGGGGTCTCTAGTTCGATTCCCAGTCAGGGCATGTGCCTGGGCTGCGGGCCAGGTTCCCTGGCATGGGGCATGCAATAGGCAACCACACATTGATGTTTCTCTCCCTCTCTTCCCCTCCATCTAAAAATAAATAAATAAAATCTTTTCAAAAAGTTTAAGCAACAACAACAAAAATATTTTATTTATTTTTAGAGAGAGGGGAAGGGAGGGAGAAAGAACGGGAGAGAAGCTTCAGTGTGCCAGAGAGACATTGATCAGTTGCCTCTCGCACAACCCAACCTAAGGACCTGGGCCACAACCCAGGCCTGTGCCCTGACTGGGAATCAAACCCATAACTTTTGGGTTGTGGTGTGACTCCTAACCCACTGAGTCACAGCAGTCAGGGCTAGCTTCCTTTAAGTAGAGTTCAGGTGATAGTCTGTTAGGGATGCCGAGGAAGGAATTCTCATTTGGGGTGGGATTTTGGATGGTAAAAGCCCTAAATTTCAAGGACTTTATACCTTCTAATCTGCTAAAAGTACATGTTTGTATGTGTTTGTTTGTTTTTAAACTCTGGCTGTAAATTAGAATCAATTCATGAGCCTGAACTTCCCAAATTCGTGTTCAGTTGGCTTAGGGTGAGGGTAGGGCATCAGCACTCCTGAACTTCCCTCAGTAATTCTGGTGTTGGAGAATCACTGGGCACAGATGAGCAGACAGTTGAACTATCAGGAACAAGAAAGCTGAAGTGGCAGATGAGAATTCCTTAGTATATCTGCTTAGACAATGTGCCCTCTCCCGATGCCATCTTTTTTCTCATTGTAGGTAGAATTGCCTCCTGTTAACAGGCCTTCTATTAAAAGGGTAGCTAGGTTGCAACCCTAATTATAAGTGTTGAAATAATTTTATTTCCCCTAAAAGGTTAAGATATACCCATTCATCAAGTGCATTCATCTGCCCCTCACCCATTTGTTGCCTTTCAACAGCTTCTATTAAGGTTAGATTTTATCTGAAATAGATTATCCTGTGTTAGAAAATAAAGTTAGAATTTTAAAGGTGGTTTAAAGGTTCTTTAAAAACTGCTGCTACCCACATGGCAGTGACCAACACTTGATTGGTTAACTGGAGTACTCATGAGGAGCAGGGAGTGGAGTCAGGAAATGAACCATCGCTGTTGAAACCAAACCTACCAAACGGGAAAAACTGTTACCATCTTTAGATATTAAACATGCCCCCCCCCAAAAAAAAAACCAAAATAACAACGAAAACACCAAAAACCCCAGGCCCAAATATGTTTTAAGTACAGTAGTTTAAGAACACTAATCATTGCTATATGATGAAATAGTCTCATTGTGAGGCCTTTCTTGTTTGATCTTTCCTCCTTTGAAGACCAGAGCAGCCCGTGGGTTGGACAGCGGCGCCACACTGCCTGCTTCCTCTCTCTGCAGCATCCAGCTGAAAGCATAGCTGTGGGAGGGCCAGCCCAGCTACCAGAGCTCTCAGGAGGGAGGGCAACCAAGGGGCCAGGGAAGGAGGTAACTGCTTAGGCTGCTCTGCAACAGACACCTAATACTTAGATGTTTTTGCTGATTTATAGTAGTGATTTTGTCCTCCTCAAGTATGCCTGGAACACTTCCTATGAGGTGTTCAAAATATTAATTCAATGAATACATGGATAAATAAACTGTCCATAGGTAAACTAACTACAGGCATACCTTGGAACTATTGCAGGTTTGGTTCTGGACCATTGCAATGAAGTGAATATCACAATAAAGCAAGTCATGTGAATCTTCCGCTGCATATTAAAGTTACACTTATTACATACTGTAGTCTGTTAAATGTGCACTAGCATAAATGTCAAAAAAAAACACACCCCAATGTATGTACCTTAATGAGAAATACTTTATTACTAAAAAATGCTAACCATTATCTGAGCCTTCAGTGAATTATAATCTTTTTGCTGGTGGCAGGTCTTATCTTTATGTGTGAAAAAGGCAATATATGCAAGGTACAGTAAGGCAAAGTGCAACAAAACGAAGTATGCCTGATGTAACCCAAAGTCTGCTCTACCAAATTGCCTCCAATTCTCTTAAAATATGGCATCTTCTTGGGTCTATGATCAGTTTGTATAGAGCCTCCTTCCTCACTTGTGTGCCTGGCTAACCAAGGACCAATTTTAGAATGCAATTAAAGCTTTTCTGCCTCTTGGAAGCTCTCTGTGCATACTCAGACTCAGCTAATTAGCACCTTCCCTGTGCTCCTCTGTGTTCTCATGTCTGGTAATTCCAGCAGATGGCATACCATATAGACCCATTTTTTTCAATCAGCCACATACTTTATAAGGGCAGGGACTGTGGCACATTCTTCTTGGTATCCCAACACTGTGCCTGGAGTGTAGTAGATGCTCAATTAAAGACTAAATGACTTTTCAACAGAGTCATTTATTTGTGGTGTTCTACAAGAACCAAAAAAAGATGAACTTGCCTGTTTTGTCTAAACTTAAAAACTAATAATCATAATAAGTACAATAAAGTACTAGAGTCTGCAAAGTTCTCATTGTGTCGTTCTCACCACGTATTGAGAGCCTTTCATGTAAAGGCAGTGCTAGTTGATTGGTTCTTTATGGTTGCCAGTTGAGCCACAAGTGTTTTTTGTCTTCAGGCAGCTGCAGATATGTCTTATACAATATTTAACAAGTAATGCTGAAATTGTTCTGAAAATCCACACACACGTACGTGTGTGTGTATGTGTGCACACAGATGTGTGCCCACACTCCAGCATTCTGATTCGCTGACAGATCTGGAAGGGGATGTGGAGAGCAGTAATTTTAAAGCTATTTAGGGATTCTGTGTACAGCCAGGATTGGGAACCAGACCTTTAAGAAATTCTACTATGTGGTAAAATAACTCAGCTGTTAAAGCCAAATCTGAGGTGTAGCTATGGAAGGTCTTACATGCTTTCTCTTATTTTCAAAGTGTTACTGTTTCTGGAGGAACTTTTGTGGGACCTGAAATCTTTCTAGGCAGGCAATCCAGCGACTGAATCCTGGTCTCCCTATAGTGATGGTGACCTAATTTACATATTTTGTTAGATTGACTTTTTTTAAGTTTTAAAAATTCTTTTTTCAAATATACGAAAAATAAATAACAGCTTCTTATGTATCCACTTGTAAGGATAGACAGCTGAAATTTTGCCATATTTGCCTAAAGTCCCCCCTCCCTTTTTTTTTTAAAGAAAGAAGTACTTGAAACTTTAGCCCATGTTTTAGCCCAGGAGAGACATTTCTCCCTCCTGCACCCCTCTGCCCAGCAGGTGGTTATCCTGCCATGGTTGGGGTTCACAAACACGTTGTTTCTGTGCTTTTGCCACACATGTCCGCACCCACAACAACAAACAATGTATGTATACCATGTTTAAAAATGTCCCAGCTGGTGTCATTACTCATGTCAATATGTGTAACTCTAGTTTGTTTATTTTACCAATTTATTTATCATTTCTCTGTACAGATCTGTTTTCAAAGCACACTTCATGCTTTTCCCAGCTGGGAGATAGTAGGCATGTGTTCAACTTCAGAGTCAGCTTGCCATTGAGAGCAACCTAAATCAGAGGATTGTTTTGGGAATTAAGGTCGTATGTGTGAAATGTTTAGCAGGGCGTGGTACACACGCACACACTCACACACAGAGCTTTATGAATATTTGCTATTAACAAAGTTACAGATGTAGCTGCTGCAATTATTCTGTCATTAACTAGAATCATGTGTGAAAGTGCCTGGCTCAGTTACTCTTGGGTTCCCTTTTATCTGTCTTTCTTATTTCCCAGTCATATTTATTGCTGTTCTTGGCATTTTGCCATTTGAGGAAATAGAGGTTTGTCCAGAGTACTGACTGGCTTGCCAATCAGTAGTGATGAATTACCAGGGGCTGGGAATGGGAGAAAGGGATGGCCACTACTGTGTGGTGCAAGATGGCACATGTAGGATGTGAGCGGCAGTACCTCTGCTCCCTTTCCAGTTGGTTTTAAATTCTATTCTGTGTAATTCACTTCTCCTGAGGGTCTACTATGTGATAGGCACTTGCCATATTCTTTATGCACATTATTAATCCTTATATGCTATTAAGTGTTGTTATCCCCATTTTATAGGTGAGGATATTGAGGCTAAGACAAATTTAACAAGTTTCTCAGTATATCTCTGCTTATAACTGAGTAAGCATTCCCCATTAGGCCTGTTTGATTCCCAAACTTGTGTACTTCTCACTCCACCAAAAAAACATCTGAGAGAGGGGAAAAGCTTAAATTAACTGATTTTAATTAAAATGACTAGAAGAAGGTTGAATATAAACAGAGCAAAGCCATTGTATAGATGTATTAATACTGTTGAAATATTTGCCCATGTTTAAAGAAGATAGATCATAAACAACCAGAGTATTGTTTTAGGCTTATTTCACAGGCTGTTTTCCTGAATATATGCCCAGAAAAGTTTTTCTGGACCAGAAGGGATAGGAAAAGAAGGGAAGAAGTCGAGAGAGAATGAATGATAATATAATTTGTTGGGAGGTCTTGACTGGTTTTAGTATAGAGGTTTAACCTTGAAGTCTATAGTCAAAGAACACATCTCTCTCTACCAAATCCAAGGTTTTGGTAGAGTGTTCACTTGCCCCTTGTTGATGGGTGAAATTATAAAAGTTGAGTAGCTCTTTGCTCTTGGGATCCACAATTTCCCTTGAATTAGAAGAATAATAGTACACATGTTTCTTTTTATTTTCTTACACTATAAGAGAAAATTCATTTAGAAAGTCACGGACGTAGAAGAAGTGAGTGGTAGAAGAAATGGGCTCAGGAAACAAGTTAGTGAGGCAAAAGAAGGGCCTGTGGAGCTTAGGGGAGAAAGGGTGCCAGTAACTCTCCTGCAGGGAAAAGGGAGGGGAGAGCAGAGGTGCCAGAAAGCCCCCAGGAGGGAGAGCGTGATGCACATGTGTCTTCATCACCCTGTTTCTGCTAGGGGATTCCCACCGAAACATCATCATGTGGCTGGACCACCGAGCAGTCAGTCAGGTGCACAGGATCAACGAAACGCAGCACAGCGTCCTGCAGTACGTCGGGGGTGTGATGTCTGTGGAAATGCAGGCCCCAAAGCTTCTGTGGCTAAAGGAGGTGAGTGCATAGAGTTGGAAGAGGATATTAATACAATTGACTCTTGAACAATGGTGCAAACACCCCACGTAAGTGTATAACTTTCAAGTCTCCCAAAATGTAAATACTCATAGCCTACTGTTGACTGGAAGCCTTAACTGAAAACATAAACAATTGGTTAGTGCATATGTTATATGTTATATGTATTATATTCTGTATTCTTATGATAAAGTAAGCTAGATAAAAGGAAATATTGTTAAGAAAATTATAAAGAAGAGAAAAAGCATTTATAGTACTGTAGGTATTTATTGAAAAATTCCACATATAAGTGGACCTGTGCAGTTCAAACCTGTGTTGTTCAAGGGTCAGCTGTAATAGCGGAGAATTCCATTCGTTATGGATCTGTCTGTACCAGGCACCCTGCTAAAGTCCATTATGTTTGATTTTTCCCAGCAGCTCTCTGAGGAAGGTTGATCCCATTTTATTGATTAGGTTGCAGTTAAATCACTCCTGTTTTCATACATTTAACTCATGCGAGGCAGTGTGTTAAGTGTTTAACCCAGATGATCACTTACAGTCTAAACAGCAATCCATTGGAGAAGGGTTTCTTCTACTTTTTTGGTGTGTGGTTTATAGAGAAGAAAACTAAAGCTAATAGAGATTAACCAACTCATCCAAAGTGACACAGTAAGTATGTGACAGAGCCAGGATTTGAACTCAAGAATGGCTGACTCCGAAATTGGTTCTCCTAATATCTAGTACTCTGCTGAAGTTCAGAGAGGTTAATTACCATTCCAGTTAGGAAGTGGCAGACTTGGGATTATAATCCAGATGTCCGGACCAGAACCTTCTTTCTCTACACACTTATAGCCCCAGGTGTTTAATCTCTGGCCTTAGTGGCATTTTAGGGTATTCCTTTCTTATTCCCCTGAAGTTGAGTTTCCATGTCCTTGACTGATATGGTGATCTCTGGTCAAAGCACTTGCAGGTGGTTCCCATTTCCAGATGTTAGGATCCTTTATGAAGTGTGGAGAGTGGTGATGTCAGCTTAATGGTTCCCATTAGAGCTGGACGTGTGAGAAGGTTCAAGTCCTCTGGGAACCTTGGACTAGAAAACCCGTAGGTGGTCTGATGAGGAGAGACTCCATCTAATAAGTATGACCTGGCATGATTTATTTGGTGGCTCTATGGAAAATGTATATGGGGGGGGGGGAGTTTAAGGGTGCTGAGAAGGAGTCCCTGGATTGCCTTTGTTCCCATGGGGAAGAAGGGGAATAAGCAAAAATGGTGTCAATAATCTGAGCAGGCTTGGCTTGTTATGTTTTGTATATATAGCTGTTCTGTGAGTTTTAATTTTTAGAAAGGCTTTTATAGTTACTCCAGTTCAAAAACATAGGGTGTCTTAGGAGTTGGGGTTTTCAGGATCCTGATTTGTCTCTGCTAACAGCACATTGTGTGACTGTGGGCAGAGCAGTTCTCATCCCAGACACCATTTTTCCATCTATAACATTTGAAAACCTGATCGAAACATATGCTGGAATACAAATCGGGATATAGAGCTGCCCTTCTCTGCCCCCACACTCTGCTGTGTGTTCTGTGGGCATTGCTTGATTTAATCTCCTAACAAGCTGTGCCTGGAGGAGAACATGGGAGACTGAGGCTGAGAGGGAGAGTTAAATGCCTTTCCCAAACAGATGGTAGAGCCAGAATTTAAATCCATATCTACTGGGCTCCAAACCCAACTCACCCAATCAGGTCACACAGTACTAAAATCCCTCCATATGGGTGCTACTCAGGGTAGGGCCAGGAAGGAGGGCAGTGGTTGCTTCAAGCCTACCTAAACATGGTGCAAGAGAACAAATAGGTTGGGTTTTTCACCCTTCTTGGCCACAGGTAAGGAAGAGTTGTACTGTATTAAGTGAGGAGAACCAAGTAGGTGGTCATTGGTGCACTATCAGGGCCTTATGGAGCACCTACTTCATGGCCAGGTCTGGGCTGTGTATCCACATCTAAATAAACATTCAACATGAACCTCTCAGGATACTTACCGTAGTGCACTTGAGCTCAAAATGCACTAAATAAAGCCCACAGAAAATAAAATTCTAGATTGCATGGCCCTGATTGTGACTTTCAAAGACTATCTATCCATCCATTCATCTGTCTAACCAATTCCATTTCAGAATTTCCTGAATAAGGCTCTAAATACTGCTTCACTCCATATTTAACTACCTGAAGGTTGAGCCTTAAATCCATTTGAAAAAAATTTAAGTTTATTTTTATTTCTTTGGTAAGCACGCACAGGAATCCTTGTGGAGATTCCCTTTGGTTTAGCTATGATTGCAAATTGAAAAGCAAAGCTATTTCTCAAATCAGTTTTAGCATCTCCTTAAAGGTCTGGCCAGGCTGGCTTATAGTGCTTCTCAAACTTTAATGGGTAAATAAATCACATAGAGATCTTGTTAAACTGCAGATTCTGATTTAGTAGCCCTGGGGTAGGGAGTGAAAATTTGCATTTCTAACAAGCTCCCAGGTGTTGCTGATGTTGCTCTCTGCAGACCTATGAGACCACTTTCCGTGCTAAAGGCTCTGGAGAATCAGTAAACAGTACCTTGTTTTTAGTGGGGTAATAGGAGACTGAGGCACAGGGAAGTTAGATAGCTTCCGTGGAGCTATCCAACTGCACATTCAGTTTCCGACCATGAGACTCTGTGTGCTGGGTTCATTGGGCTGTCATTTGTTTGTTCTTTATTCATTCCTTAATTTGCCAAATTTTAACCGAGGTCCTGCTCTGAACCCGTAATGTGGTAGGCGTCGGGGGCATGGGGGCAAAGAGGACTCAGCCTTTCCCTCCAGTGGCAGAGAGGCCACTGGGGATAACGGTGGGGGCCCATAAGGAGGGAGTGGGTGGATGGAAAAGACAGGAAAGGAGCCATGGGGAGGTGTGCTAAGCACTGTGATGCAGGAATATGCAAAGTGCTTTCAGAGAAAATAATTTACTTCCTGGAGGAGTTGAGATGAGCCTCAAGATATGAGTGGAGATTTTGCCTGATAGAGAAGACGGGAAGGATGAGAGAAAGAGAGAGAGAGAGAGACTGAGACTGACTAGAGTTCATTTATGGTAACGTAAGTGGGTCCCAGGATAAGAGCCTAGGGTGCTTCCCTGAGTAAAGCAGGAAATGAAGCCAGGGCTGTTTGTTAAGGGCTTATTTGGTGATAGAGATTGGTTGATGGTTTTCAGCCAAGGTGTGAAAAAATGTGTGTGCTGGGAGAAGAACTTATTTTCTTCCCTCATTATAGCACTTTGTTGCCTTTGCTCTTAGGATGAGTTCCGAAATTTGTGGCATTGCCCAGAAGATGGTATCTTATGTCATTTTTGTTTCCTTCTTTGTGCTTATTGTGTGTTCCTCACCTTGCTCACCCTAGTCCATCCACAGGGATCCCCTCAGGGTGCCTCAAACACACCCAGTTCTTACTGCTTCAGAATCTTGACTAGGCCTTGGGTCAGGGGCCCAATCTGGCCTACTGCCTGTTTTTGGTTGTCCTGGGAGCTAAGAATAGCTTTTACATTATCAAATGGTTGAACAAGAATCAAAAGAAGAATAACATTTTGTGACTTGTGAAAATTATATGAAATTAAAATTTTAGTGGCCATAAGTAAAGTTTTATTGGAACACAGCCATCCTCATTCATTTCTGTGTCATCTTTTGCATTACGGTGGCAGTGCTAAGTCACACAGGTTTTGTTGCTGGGTTTAGAAGTTCTGTATATCTGCCCCTCCCGTCTCCCCAGTCCATGCCTCTCTGCTTCTGTTCCCTATAACATGTTGGAAAAGTGAGTAAATGATTCTCTGAATGGTTCTAATGTGCCGTTTCCTGTATATGTAGATTCTTTGGAGGGACTGGGAGCTTGGGTGCCTAGAGAGGTGATTTGATAACTTCTGGCTGTGGAAGGTGTCAGCTGAGTGCTTTGCAGTAAGACCTGGAGACAGAAACTGTAGGGCCTGCAAAGCTGAGAATATTTACTCTCTGGACCTTTGGAGAAAACATTTGCTGACCCCTGGACTTGACGATGTGATGTTGTGCCTTCTGCCCTAGAACGTTACTCCCTTTACTCACCACTGATTCTGACTCATGATTTAGGTCTCAGCTTTATTGTCACTTCCTTAAAAAAGCCTTTCCTGACCCTCAAATAAATAAGAAGTCTCTTGTCTTTGCACTCTTAATGTTACTTCATCATATCTTTCATAAATTGTAATCATATGTCAAATGATTACATATCATGATTTGTATGATGCTTGCCCTCTCCAACCATTGTAATCCACAGCAGGATAGAGATCATCTCCGTTTTGTTCTTTGCTGTGTTCCTACTCCTAATCAAATACCTGGCACTTAAAGGTACTCAATACCTATTTTTTTGAATAGAGTGGCCCAATAAGGGGCTGTTGCAGTACTCCAGATGATAAGTAATGACACCTGAATTAGGCACGGGGGGATGGAGAAGAGATGGGTTCCAGAAATGGTTAGGGCACAGGTGGCAAACACAAAGCCCACGGGCCACATTGGGCCCTCTACCTTGTTTTATCCTGCCTGGCACCTTGTTTCTACCCAGCAGCAGTTCCGAGCTCTCCCTTAACTGTTAAGGATTAGTTACATTTATACAGTCCTAAAATTACATTCGGCCCTTTGAAGGCAACCATGAGGCTGATGTGGCCCCTGGTAAAAGTGAGTTTGACACCCCTGCCTTAGGGGATAATATCAGCAGGACATTGAGACTGATTGGCTGTGAGGGGTGAGCTAGATAGAGGAGCCAGAGCTGGACACTCACTTCAGTAGTGCTGCCATCCGTCTGCTCCTTGTCCTTAGCCTGCCATCAGGTGTCAGAGGGAGCCAGGCAGAGTTAAGAGTTCGGACTTACCAGAAGACAGAAGTGACACACTAGGACCACCATAGCTCTTGGGCGAAGTCACTCGGGTCCTAGTCCTGCAATATGGAATTTTAATCATGCCCTTTATATTTAAGGTT